ATCATCATCATCACCACCACCACCATCATCATCATCATCATCTTCATCATCATCATCATCATCATCATCATCATCATCGATACCTTTCTCGCCCTGGATCAGGCATAGGCCATGAACACTTTCCGCTTTTCCTTATCCTGGACTAGCCCTTTAATATTATTACTCCATGTCTTCCACCTCTTCCCGACTTCATTCTTTGTCACTCTTCTCCAAGTTTTCCGTGGCCTTCCACCTGATCGCTTACCCTGGTGATTCCAATCCTACACCTTCTTTGTTATGCAGCTGCCTGGCACCCTAAGTTCAGGATCATTATAATGTCAAACATACGTTGGCGACACGGTGTTTAAGTGGACGGACACTTGGGTGTGTCCTTGAGCAAAATGCAATACTCCTAACTCAAAAAACAGGGCGCTGCACAGTGGCGACCAATAATGACGTGTCTGTAGTCTGTATGTTTCAGTAGGTATGTATCCATGTATTCGTATGTACCTTATTTATGTATGTATGTACGTACGTACGTACGTATGTACGTATGTACGTATGTACGTATGTACGTATGTACCTATGTACATATGTACGTATGTACGTATGTACGTATGTACGTATGTACGTATGTACGTATGTACGTATGTATGTATGTATGTATGTATGTATGTATGTATGTATGTATGTATGTATGTATATGTGTAGGTATGAGTGTATGTGTGTATGTATGTGTGTATGTGTGTGTGTGTGTGTGTGTGTGTGTGTGTGTGTGTGCGTTCACTCACCCCGATGGAAAACTCTTCCCCCATCCCGCCACGCCGCCCAGGTCTCGCGTGATCCACAGAATGACGAGAATCAAGAACTGGCTCACCACTATCTTCTGACTCAGTCTGAGTCCCAGAGTATGGGGGAAGGGTGTGGGGAAGGGGGAGATGAAAGAGATATAGATTTCATGAAGAGTATCATAATTCCTGGATTGACAGAATTGTTTATTTATTTCAGTTAATATCCAGAGGTAAAGACTGTAGTATGCTACGAATAGATAGACAGATAGATAGATAGACAGACTGTAGTGTGCTGACATAATGAGACAGACAGACAGACAGACAGACAGACAGACAGACAGACAGACAGACAGACAGACAGACAGACAGACAGACAGACAGACAGACAAGTCGACGATCGATCGATAGATCGATAGATAGATAGATAGATAGATAGATAGATAGATAGATAGATAGATAGATAGATAGATAGATAGATAGACAGACAGAGCTTTCAGTTCTTTTCCCAAGGTACAAGTTACTCCAAAGAGTGAGAACTATTCGCCCTTGGACTAGCAATTTTCCCGCAGCGAAAGAACCTGGGCAGACAATAAAATTAAATCATTGAGAGGCCTGACCTCTGTGAACAGAAACTCGAGCCACGACTTTGATTAGACTCAGACAATTATTAATTACCCAACTCCTTCAACGTGGATCCAATTTTCACTTCGAAGGTTACGTACTCATGTGAATTTACGTACTATACTTTTTCAGACCTTTGTTACCTTACG